CGGCCAGGCCTCTTAGCCGCTGCAGGCCGGACGGCGCGGTGGGAACCGCGAGTCATTGCGGCCGTGGCAATAGAATGTACAATCGCAAAGATCGAGCAAGAGCAATAGCAATAATATCTGATACCTGAAAGACTGAAGGAGTTGGGGGCTGCCATTTGCAAACGCCTAAATTTAAGGCCTCAACAATGAAGGAGGTTTTGTATAAAACGCGTGGACACCCTACACCCTTGTGGAACCCTACTAACCTGACAAAAATCTAAACTCCCAAAACTCCCTGTGGCAGCCCGTCAGTATACACGAAGTCGGTTTCGTCATTCACTGGTCCGGTCACAATCCGAGATCCGTTGGTTGTTTGGAAAAAGGAAATACCATGGGGACTATAGGTACTGAGAAACTTATATGGTCTCGGAGAGCTCATCAGAGTTTAGGCTTAGGGTTTATCCGTTTAGGGTTTGGCTCTTTCTGGGCCTCCCGTAGAACCAGAGTAAAAGTAGTAGCCTTATTAATCCCTCAAGTTATCTAAACCCTAAACCATTAGCCTAAACCCTAAACGGTTTAGCTAGTAAAGATAGTAGTCTTGTTAATCCCCTCAAGTTCCCTAAACCCTAAACCTAAACGGCTTGGCTGTTTAAGTTTATCGGTATTGCTGCCCTCTTGAAACTCGAGGCCCTCCAATTCACCGAACTCGGCCCGTGACACCCCACACCCCCCAAACCCTAAAGCCTACACTGTACTTGGAGGATCATGGGACTTAGTAAGTAAGGTTATAAGTCCCTTAATTGGTGTTATAAGTAGTTAGTTATGAGTATAGTTACCCTAATTATAACCCTAGTCTAGTTACTAAGTCCCATGATCCTTTAAGTAGACCATAAACCCTAAACCCCATACATCCCTTTAGGGAACCCCTATAGATCCCGTTTAAGGAGCCCTAGTTACTAAGTCCCATGATCCTTTAAGTAGAGGCCCCATCAACTTCCCACCGCTGAGGGAGGCGACTGAGCATGAAGAAGTTCCTGAGACCGCGGAGAAGCTTGGGGCTTCCTAACGTCTGAACCTAGTAGGGTTCCTTTAAAGGGGTCTATAAGGGTACTGTAAGGGTACTATAAGGGATCTATAAGGGCCTTATGAGGGTACTATAATTCAGAGGCCTCTGGGGCTTCCTAACGTCTGAACCTTTACTTGGAGGGTCTTTAGGGGACTTAGTAACTATAAGGGGTTCCTTCAAAGGGGTCCTTTAAAGGGATCTATAGGGATTCTATAAGGGTTTAGGGTTTAGGGTTTGGGGGACTTAGTAACTGGTTATTGTAGGGACTTATAAGCACCATAACCCCAAGTAGGTCCCTTTTAGGGTACTCATAAGTCTACTTACTACCTACTTACTAAGTCCCCCGACCCTCCAAGGGACTTAGGGCTCGGGGCTCGGAGGTGTAGTGTCTAGCTGGGGGCTATGGTGTACACTCAAGGCATAGGCCGCCCACCTACTCCCTAAGACTCCAAGTCTACAAATGGTACCCACTTCAGGGTATAAAGTCCACAAATGATATCTACTCTGGGCTATTGTGAGCCTCCTAGACCCTAAACCGTGGACCCCAAACGCTAAACCCTAAACCTTAAACCCGTCTCTGGCCCTTTGGCGGAGCTTAAAAACCTCGCCGCGATCGATAAGGGGAGGCCCCTTGGAGGCTCCAGGTCCGACCTACGGTTGATAATGTAAATCCTGCCTTAGCCATAATTGGGGATATACCATAATTCCCACAGTCTAGAGCCATTCAGGTAATGCAGGATTTATATCATCGACCGTAATAATATCGGAATGACAATAACCGTAAGCCCCTAAAACCCACCAAAACCCAAATTCACTGTCTTCCGAGCCTTGTGGAGCTCCAGCCCCTACCCCTATAGGTCCCTTCAAATCAAGGAACCCTTGTAATATAGAGGCCTTAATAATTAGAATAGGGTTCCTTTAGAGGGTTCCGTCGAAAGGAGTCGATAAGGAGTGCTACAACGGGTAATATGGGGGGTTTAGTGTAGGGGCCTTAATAACTAGAATACGGTTTTAGGCCCATTATTATATTATAGTTAGAATAAGGAACCCCCAAAATAGTATAGGTGATTATTAAGGCTTCTATAATAACCCCTCATGTTAAACTTTGTTGTTTACAGACAGTTCCAGTTCGAGTTCGAGTTCGAGTTAGGGTGGGGTTCCTAATGGTTGTTTAAGGATTTGGGGGGGCCTTAAACCCTAAACCGCTTTTTGGGATTTGGGGGCCTGGTCTCCTTAGGTTAACACAGGCAATTCTTCTGGTGGTTTTGAATGCTAAACCCCTGGCCCGAAAGGCCTGCAACCCCGGCTGAATCCTGTGTGAAGCCGAGTGGACAACTGCTTTAAAAGACAGGGTGTCTAAAACCCTAGTACCTAGACCCTCAAAAGTCGGTAAAATAATGGCCCCAAACCTATAAAATGCTATTATTCTACATACTTTCGGGGGCCAGGTATCCACACGCACAGCCCCACGCCCTAAACCCTGAACGGACTTGATGATCGGGCTCGGGAAGTTGAATCGACTTGTAATGTAGGAGCTTGATTAAGAACCCCTGGGCCCATAATCCAAAACTAATAGGATTCATATAAGGAAGCCTAATAAAGGTCCCAAGGTTTCTTAATCAGGTTCCCACATTATGGTGCTAGTTTTGTGGTGCCTATCTCAGCAAGCCCAATGGTCAGTATTGGACTGTTACTGGCCGGAGGCAGGAGTCAAACAGACCCTAAGCACATAAACATCCGTAAACCCTTAAACCTGAACCCTTAAACCCTAAACTCGAAACCCCAACTAAACCCTAAAACCTGAACCTCGGACCCTAGACTCTTCTTCCATGAAGTTGATGGGCTCAGTGTTCCTCTTGCATCCCGCCACTGAGCCTTGACACCTGAAGAAAGCCCTCAGGCTCCATATTTACCTATATACCCAAAGAGGGTTCCTGTAAGGGTTCTATAGGGTGAGGGTCCCTATCTACTACCATTATGGAGCTAGGTCCCCAAAACCATAATGGGGATGGCGTTTTGGGACCTAGAGCTCCACAACGGCAGTGTATATGGGGTTTCCGAAAATAGAAGACCCTAATATAGTAATTAGTAATTACCCTAAATAACAGGATCCTTATTATAAGGACCGTTAATAAGGTACCACAAATCTTCGGAAACTCCCATATGCACCCTCTGGGAGTTGAGGGGCCGAAACACCCGGACCGGCACTCGCTGCTTGCAGCCGCAGCGTCGACCGAAATTGAGGCCAGAAATGGCTCCAGAAGACATCCATTCCACACGAGCCTGACGGGCTGAGGGTTTTAGGGTTTTAGGCTTCATAGGGTTTAGGGTTTTGGGGTTTAGGGTTTAGGGGTTTTGGGGTTTAAGGGTTTAGGGTTTTGCGGGTTCAAGCGTTTAAGGGTTTATGGTTTAGGGTTTAAGGGTTTAGGGTTTAGGGATTACCTGGACTTCTGTCTAGCACCGAAAAAACAGACCTGCCCAAAACCATGGTCCCAAGAACAACCGAAATAGACCTGCAGCCCGAATCCCACCTTTGCTCCGAAATGCACCATTTCCGCAATCCATGTTCAAGAAACATGACTTGACAAGCCTGAAAGTCTGAATTGCAAAACAAGCCGTGAATGAGGTCTGTTTACCGTTCCAGGCAGACTTAGAGGTCTGATTCGAGTTGTGGCATCGCAGGTTCATACAAGGTACGCCAATTAATTCAACACATTGTGCTCGGGGCTTTGTGCTCCTGTCGTGATGCTGGAGATGCCGCTGTGCAGAAGGTGCGCCCACCGATCCGAGAATGCCCTGCTTTGCTCAGCTTAGTTTGTGGATATGACGTCATTTATGCATGTGGCCTGGAATGTGCATGCTTTGCTTGGCCTGCAGGTTTGTTTGGTTCCAGCTTTGTTCCAGGGGTTTGTGTGGCTAGCCTAGCCTTGCTGTCTGGAATGACGAGCAGCTGCGATGATCATCTTGGGTGCGATCTCCAACGAGAGATTCTCGACCGAGGCTTTCCTACATACCTGCTAATGTGCCTGATGTTTGCACACACCCCACGCCGAAACTGCTAGGCTTGCAAAGCCTGCCAGCTTCGTTTTGGCGTACCGTCGCGGCAGTTCTCTCTCAGAGGGCTTCAGTGCTCGCCTCAAAAAGAATACAGGAACCATAAGCTGACATATGATGCAGCTATTGTATGCCGTTTGGTAGCACAGACAGGTCTCAGATGTTGACGACGAAATGAAGAAGTTGATTCTTCGGAACTACGATCACCGTGGCTATGCTTTCGATGCAGCAAAGTCTTACGGGCACATGGGCTTCTGGGCTTCACAAAACAATGAGTCTACGTCGCCTTTGCAAAACCATGCTAGGTACAGACACCTGCAGTACCCTCTGACATATGAACCAAAGGTGCAAAGTCGTTGTCTGCTCTGTCCCGCCAAAATGTGACTCGACAGACAAAGGCAGCAGTATGTGAGTTGAGGCTTTATCAGTCATGACTGTCGGCAAAACATACCTAAGGCCAAATGGAACCTCGATGGCACTCAGCCCGATGAAAGTCAATGAGTGATGCACTCACTGGCAGCAGATTTCCGCAGACCTGACATTCAAAAGTATAGTGCAGGATGTTGTGTACAGGTTAAGCTGTTGTGCTTCTGATTCTCATCATGTTGCAGAGACCCAGCAGCCCTGGTTGAAAAATGGTTCGAGTATGGACTCCGGCAACACAGGGATTTCTCTTCAGGGGTGCCGTTGCTACATCCGACAAGCGCAGGTTGGTTGCTGGGCCTCGTCGCTGCTTCTGACGTGTCAGCACGCCAGAGGAGCCAGGCACTTGGAGAGCAGCTGCGCGCAGGATCCTGCAGTGTGGACGGATGCTAGTGAGATGGTCCTACATTCCTATATTTTTCATTGGCTCTGGAGGTCGTGCTTTTGTTTATCTAGGCCTAGGCTTGTGCAAGGAGCCATGGCAGTTCCGCGGAACAGGAAGCGCGGCCAGGACGCGCCAATCCCTGTTCCCGAACCACCTCGACAGCGAGAGCTTCCCATGCCCCACCTCCCGAAAGATTGGGAATCTAATGAGATCGTGCGGCGCCGCATACTCTGGGATGGGCGATTGTTGGCTTGGCCGAAAGCCGAACTAATAGGTGTCGCATCTTACAAGGCGGCGTCACTCAATGGAGAAGTGCTCACCATCTTTTTCAATGCTTGGGTGGCCGAATGTGATGCTCCTAAGTCACCGGGAGTGCCACTCATGAAAGAGCAGGCCAGAGCACTCCAATGTCTGTTGCTGCCCATGTTTGAGGTTTCGTAGCATGCTACTCATCATTCCGGACAGGTGCTGAGGCTGTGCAAGCTGTGCGGGAAGGACGTGCCCAAGACACAGCGAGATTGTGACGGTTGGGGGCTGCGCAAGCTGTTTTCACATTTTGTCAAAAGACTTGCGCAGACCACAAGACCCACCGACACTCGACTGCTCAGGATAGGTGTGTCTTTTGTGCTGTTTTGTTTTCTGTTGCATACATGTGAAATGAGGACCCCGTCGTCCGAAGCCTCAAGCACATTTTGCTCGCGAAGTGGTTTCCGGAGCGTCTCCATGAGTTGGACGACCCACCCGTCGCCGAGGAGGACTAGCTTGGATCGCTCACTGCATTCAAATCACAAATGTTCTGTCCGGTTGCATATTCCTAGCACTGGCCCTGTAGGAGGAACAGGATGATGATGATGATCTCGAGTTTCCGCTGGCAGACTTGCCTGAGGACGACGAGGAGGGAGAGTTGGATGGGGACGACGGCGAGGCAAATGAGGAAGGGAAGGATTGTGAGGACACGAGTGAGCAGGATCAGGAGGAGGGGGTTCAAGAAGAGCTTGCCCAAGATGTAAAGGAGAGGCTTGAGGAACAGCGGGTTCAGGAAGAGCCCAACAAGGCTCAGGAAGAGAAGCCCAGAGCCCCTTGCAAGGTTCCTTCGTTTGAGATTTTTGCACCAGTCGAGGTTAACTCCTCGGAGGATGAAGCCCCGGCACCCACACCCACGTTGAATCCTTGTGCTTCCGAGCGCAAGCAGAAGCTCAAGGAACTTCAAGCCAGATTGAAGGAATTGAAACTTATTTGCAATTGCTCGTGTCATAGAGGGTCTGCTTCCATCCTATCGCTCCCTTTCTCACACACACTCTCTCTCGCTCTTTTGCTTCTCTCTCTCTCTCTGTCTCTCTCTCTCTCTCTCTCTCTCTCTGTCTCTCTCTCTCTCTCTCTCATCTCTCCTCTCTCCATCTTTCTCTCTCGGCGTTCCGGTTGGGCTCCTGGTGTCGTGCGGCCCAGGAAGCAGCAGCAGGCAGCGGCGCAGAAGGTACGATCCAGCACGGCAGCTTCCTTTGCTGCAAAGTGTGACCCGAGCTGCTTGCACATAATGGTTTTCGGTTGGCACAGTGTGGGAGCATATGGGGACTTGTAAGTTCTAGGAAAATCTTAAGATTTCAGGATTTCCTAGGAAGTCAAAACTTTTGTTGAGCCAACACCGGACACTTGCGATGTCGCCTCGAAATCGTGAATCTTTGCTCAGGTCGTGCAGACACCCTTGCCTATGATGCCGGGGCTGCACTGGAAGCATGGGCCCCCCATGCTGCTGTGTTGACAGTAGCTGACTCACAAGACCCCGAAGCCACGGACCCCGTCCCCAACCGCAGCGACGCCCCATCCGAGCCATCACCAACCTTGAACCGACAGCCGCCAAAGCCGAGAGATCTGATCAGTGCTGATATCGAACAAACCGATCAAAAAGCACAAGCCCCGATGAACGGTGATTGCTCGGCCCAGCCACCCGACGAGAACGCAAGCAAGTCCAGAAAACCCGAAGCCGAGCCGATTGCTTCTGCTGAGTCCGGCCAAGAGGCAGATGTCCCACGTGGCAGCAATGCTACGCCTGAGCCAGCCCCAAAGTCCCGTGGTGTTCCCATGCTTCGTAGCACCCAAAGCCGTGCAGACTTCTATGAGGCAAAGGCAGGAGGATTGCGGGGCTTTTGAATGTAATGTACCTACAAGACTTGTTTTCAGGGTTTTGTGGACATACTTTGCGGCCCTTAAGCTAGGATTCTACAGGGTGTCAGGGGGGCTAACATAAGGGCTCAGGATTTATAGGGTTTGTTGCTTGGCTGAGGACTCATGCAGTGTTTCGATCCAGGTTGAGGATGCAGGGTTTCCGAGACTCCGGATTTGAGGTAAGGCTTCAGCTTCATAATTTCGGATAAGGTTTGCACATGCATGGGGTTCAGGAGTTTAGGGTCAATGGGGTGTTGGTGAAAGGAATTATCATAAGGGAAACCAAACGACCTTCGGGATGTTGGTGGCCCCTGCTGCAAGCAACGAGCTTCAAACCGTGCATGGGACCTTCACAGCTCCGCAAGCCTCAACCCCGAAGCCTCGGAATCGGTTTGAACACGCCAAACCCGTATCTACAAATTCCTATAATGCCTATAAACCCCATGCACCCTCTAACCAGTAACCCTGAACCCAATGAACCATGCCTTATATTGCCTTACATAGACCCCACAAACCACGAAGCCATCCACTGCTGCCAGGGCCCAGCTCCTATGAGGATGGCGCAGGATGCCGAGAGCGAGCGGCTCCGTGTAGAAGCTGGCGAAGTCATTCCTAAGAAGGGTAGGAAAGCCAACCCCAAAGCCAAAGCCAAACTCACTGCTGCAGCAAAACGTAAGGCAACCCAAAACGGTGAAAGGCAAGATCTTGAAGCTGAGGAGCCTTCAATCGAGAAGGCTAGTGGTTCCAAGGACCACCCCAGGTGGGCGGTGCTAGCTGCGCAGACGGATGCCGAGAAGCCTGACGAGGCAGCCAAACCCAAGAGGAGAGGCAGGCCTCCCAAGGAAAAGGAAGCCCCGAAAGATGACCCCAAGCCTAAGAAAGCCCAACAAGACAAGCAAGCCCCGGAGGCCCAGCAGGAGGAATCCACGAAAGATGGCCCCAAGCCTAAGAAAGCCAAGCGAGACAAGGGAGCACATGAGGCCGAGCAGGACGAGGAATCCCCGAAAGATGAGCCCAAGCCTAAGAAAGCCAAGCGAGCACGTGGGGCCGAGCAGGACGAGGAATCCCCGAAAGATGAGCCCAAACCCAAGAAAGCCAAGCGAGCACCTGAGGCCAAGCAGGACGAGGAATCCCCGGAAGATGAGCCCAAACCTAAGAAAGCCAAGCTAGGCGACAAGGAGAAGCCATGCAAGAGAACCGTGGTTGAGAGACCCCCGGTGGATGAGGCAGAGAAGGCTAGAAGGGCTAAGCTCCGTTCAAGTGTGGGTCTCTTCGAGTACGCAGAGTTCAATTGGTATTGGACACGTGACACCCTCGGCGTGAAAATCAAAGCTGGCGCTGAAAAGAACCGGGAGGTGGGGAGTTGATAAGTTCTGCGCACACACACAGACACACACATGTAGAGGGTTTCGAATACGATCGGCCTGTAATTCTCCGGCAGGTCATCAACCTGCGCCGCCGGGGTGTGAGCATTGAGAAGATTGTCCCCTTTGCACTCAAAGTTGTTTCTCGCTCAGGAACATGTGACACTCGAGGGCTTGTTACGAGGGTGCATGCAGCTTCAGTGAATGTTGGGCTGCTAGTTGGGTCGCTCCACAGCTAAGGCTACCATCACGGAGAATGCCAAAGGCATCATCTCATCTGCGGTGGAGAGGAGGATCAACTCATGCAAAGAGGAGTTTATGTCTGCCTGCCTAGATGAAACTTCCTAGATTTTCGGGGCTGCTGTGTGCCACCGGTGTTCAACCAGTTGTGTTACACATTACTTGTGATTGCTATGGTTACCAATGGGCATCTATAGCTGCAGAGATCAGAGAGTACAGCGCTGGTTGCAGTAGTGGCCGGTTGCCAATTCGTGGCAGTCCGATGATGGACTGTGTCACCGGGTAGAAGCATGAGACTGTGTGAGTGCACATGGAATGTCTTCGACGTAGCACGCTTGTACAAGGGTTTACCAGACTACCGCATCCAAGTTTGGCTTCGTCTAGCTCTCTATGTGTCTGTGCACGGTACTGTGTGCTAGGGCTTACTCAGGGAACCTGGCTGAAAAGCTGGGACGCAACCAGACGTGCTTGCTTCGCAGCGTGAGAAATGCATTGCGCTAGACAACCCTGGCTGCCCAAGCAACATGATGCCACAGCAATTTCACACCGAACACTCGCCCAGGCCACGATGCCTCTGCTGGCCCACGCCGTGAAGTTCGGTCTGGCATCTTCGGACAGTGCGCCCACGCCCTGCCTGGGTTTTGCTTGCTTTAGAGGTTTAAAAGGTTGTTTAGGATGAATATAGGGTTTCTAGGGTCCCATGGGGTTTATAGGGGTATAGGGTCTATACTACGACTACTACTACTACTACCACTACTACTACTACTACTACTACTACTACCACCACCACCACTACCACTACCACTACCACTACCACTACTACTACCACTACCACTACCACTACCACGACGACTACTACTACTACTACTACTACTACTACTACTACTACTACTACTACTACTACTACTACGGTTGATGATATAAATCCTGCATTACCCATAACAAGGAATATACCATAATTCCCATCGTTTAAGCTCATTAAGGTGATGCAGGATTTATATCATCAACCGTAGTAGTAGTAGTGGTAGTGGTAGTAGTAGTAGTTGTAGTAGTAGTAGTAGTAGTAGTACTACTACTACTTGTAGTAGTAGTAGTAGTAGTAGTAGTAGTAGTAGTAGTAGTAGTAGTAGTAGTAGTAGTAGTAGTAGTAGTAGTAGTAGTAGTACTACTACTACTAATTACTACTACTACTAGTCCAAGTTAAACTGCTATACACCCGAAGTTTCAGCGCCTGAAACCCCCGAAAACACTTTAAAGGCGACAAGCTCGAAGCCTTTTCTCCCAGAGCGTCAAGTAGCTTCATGAAATGGTTTATGAAATCCCTAAGTTATCCTGAAACCCCGAGACTTTTCTCCCAGAACCTCAAGAAAGTTTATGAAACCCCTAGTCTGAAATCCCAAAAGCCAGCTTGGGCTTACAGAAGTCCCAACCCACATGATGCACATGCCCCCGAAAATACAACCCTCCTTGCAATGCTAGTGCAAGTGATACAGGCTGTGTTAGGGGTTGGAAACCACCACCTCCGAACCTCGATGAATGTTGCAGGTGTTTCATTTTCAGGAGCTAGGGGTCCCAAAGTCCACCAGCATGGTTCGTTGCTGTGAAATGGAAACAGTTATTGCACGGCTCATGAAGCTCGGAGCTCCCAAGGAGCTCGGCAGCAGCACATTCCAGTTGATGCATAGCCTCAGATTCTTGTTAAGCCCAGGAAGACAAGCAGCCCGTATTGATTTGTGTCAGCAACAGCCCAGGCTTTCGTACTACTTGTGCTTCTCACTTCGTGGTTGTCCTATGCATCTTTGGACTCGGAGAGCTACGATGTTGTCGAATACTTTGCCGGTGCAGCACAAATCGCACGTGTTTCTCGCACGGTGCAGATGCGAGCAGCAGCAACTGATTCGGTCTACTCATGTTCTCGAAACGGAGGCATGGACTTATGCACAGCTCCAGGGTTTGTGCATCATGGCTGCACTACGATCGAAAATCATGAACCAAGGTAGGTGTTCCCTAGATGCGATGAATGATGAATACTCGGAATTGAGGTCGGCTGTTCTGTTGCTGCTTCGCTGTCGTAAAGACAAGTCACTGGCCAGCTTCGCGATATGCTGCTCCAGCTGGGTTACGGTATCACGATCATCGACTGGAAGAAGCATCCTCACACCGATGGGTGGAGACTACGCAAAGGTAAAATTAGCCAACTTGATGGCCTCCAGGTCCCCAGGTTGTCCAAGCAGTCCCAATTTTGACCTTTGACCTAACCCGAAACCGGGGTTGTACTGCTCTTGGTACGATACCTCGGCTGAGGCTCGCGCTTCTGCTTCAACTAGCAGTGGCGGTGGGCGCCACGTTCATCGTGGAGCAGCCGCGATCGAGTCTTCTTTTCCATCATGACAGGTTAGAAGCACTGCTTGAGATGTGGAGTGGGGTTGTGCGTGCTGCTTGGCAGCAGTCCAGGAGTTCGGAAAGGGGTGGCAGGGTAAGGGGGGGGGTGGGGGGTGGGGAGGGGTCCGAAAGAGGCACGGGGGGTAGGAGGGCCCTAAACCCTAAACCCTAGACCCTTAACCCTAAACCCTTAACCCTTAGGGGGGGTAGGGGGGGTTGGGGGGGGGGGGGGGGGGTAGGGGGGGGGGGGGGTGGGGGGGGGGGGGGGGGTAGGGGGGGCGTGGGGGGGGGGTAGGGGGGGGAACGGGGGGGTCTCTTTTCGCAGGTTTTTGGTGGTTTTTTGGGCGTTGTGCTCGTGCCCCCCACTTTCGGGGGCCAGTGAGGGCACTTTCGGGGCCAGTGAGGGCACTTTCGGGCCAGAGAGACGGAGAAAATAAAAAAGGGCTGGGTTGGGGGCTGGGGCTGGCCCGTGATGCCGCTGATGCTCGCGTACGGCGCGCGCGCGCGCGCGCGCGCGCCGTACGCGAGCATCAGCAGCATCAGCGGCGCCAGTCCTGTTTCTGCTTGGGCACTTTCGGGGGCCAGTGAGGGCACTTTCGGGGGGCAAGGCCACCCAACCCCCCCTCCCTGGCCTTATTTTGGGGGGGTTGGGTTGCCTCTTTTTTTGCATCCAACACGACCAATAGCTAACGAGATGTGTTCCAAGAAACATGCCTCTTCAGGACTTGCCAGGAGATTGGACACAGGAGAGAGAGAGAGAGAGAGAGAGAATACTATGAGTTGCAGCACTCGGAGACTTGAGGTGTACAGCGTCCCATTCTGGATGAAGCACTATGACAGTGCAACGCCGAAGCGAACACGTGTCTGGAGTTCCTCTTGGGCAATCAAGAACCTAGATCTGGGAGCACTGCGCAAGGAGGACATGAGATGCTGCCGAGCGAAAACTGTTACCAGGAAGGGGCAGAAGTTCACCGGCAACAAACGCCTTAAGGGAACTCAGTCCCAGCCTCAATTATAGTGTTAACCTCATATGTTTCTGGCCAGTGTCTGATTAAGATACCTATACAAGGACCTATACTTTCCGCTATGCTCGCAAGATCATACAGACGATGCCACTGTTGGTTCACCCTCGGACAAAGTCCCCGCCCCCCGCTGCTTGGCTTATTTGTTTCCTTCGGCTTCTCTGTCTCTCAGAAAAAGTCTGCTGGTCTGTGCACTGAACACAGGCCACGGACGGTGTGAACATCTTGGATGCATTCGCTGCGATGACTATGGATGATCTGTGGCTTGACGCGCAACTGGTTGAAGCTGTTAGGTATGTGAGAGGATCCAAGCGGCTGTGCATCCCTAGCCCGCAGTGGCGGGCAGTGTTGCCCACGCAGCTCTGAAACAATGCCAGACAGTCGTAGCTCAAGCGTCAGAGAGCTAGGTAAACCAATAAAAGGCCGAAATCACTGCAAGCCCAAACCAAGCCGTACCCAGGTCACCCGGAGTCACCCGTACCAAAGCCGATTATAGGCGTACAAAGCCGAAAATAAGCGTACAAAGCGTATGGCCGTACACCCGTACCCGCCCGTACCCACCCGTACCCCTCCTCTTGGTCCCAAAGTCAGTAAAAGCCGCCCCAGTTTCCGTAGTCACCTGCTGGTCCAAGGCAAGGAGGGGAGTTGCAGGGCTTTTTGAGGGTGTGGTGGGTATTGGAGACCATAGGGAGCTATTGTTCGGGATTCTAGGTCATATTGCCACGAATGTTCAACCTCTGACAGTAAAGGTTGTTGAGATCAACCCACTCCACTAACCCACCGGCTTTTGAATGTAATGTACCTACAAGTTGTTTTCAAGAACTTATCCAATGAACCCTCGCGACGCCTACAAACTTCTATACTCCTCAAGCCCTTTTCGACCCTGTAGAACCCTAGCTAAAAGTGCAGAAACAGAACACCATGACCCTCTAACCCGAAATCCTGAACCCTATGAGCCATGCCTTGTATTGCCTTACATCGTGGGCAACAGCTGGGGTTGGGTCTGCCCAGGGCTATGTCTCCACGAATATCAGCCTGTGGCAATGTAGGTTTCTGAATTATCCTGTGCATAAGTAAAACTCTCTTGTACGCGTTCTTTGGGATGTGCGACCTACTTGGGGGGTCGGGGGACTTAGTAAGTAGTTAGTAAGTAGGCTTATAAGTACCTTAAAAGGGATCCTAATTGGGGTTATGGTACTTATAAGTCCCTAAAATAACCAGTTACTAAGTCCCCCGATCCTCCAAGTAGTAGGACTGTGCTTCGGCTGTTTGGTGGCTTGGGCCTCGAATTAAAACGGTTTTGGCAGTTGCCTCGGTTCGGGGCAGTGCAGCGAGAAACTGCTGCACCCGGATTTGGTTTGCACTGCTGTCCAACTAGGGTCCGATATCCTGCAATGCAAAGCGACGAGATCTCGGCAGCAAAATGACTGCAGTTTGCTGGGTGAGTGATGATGCCCAACAAGATGTATAGTGTTGTGCTTCCTGTTGCTGTCTTGCCAATGGTTCGATGTCATTCTGTAGCGACCTCGGTTCTCCTGTGAAAACTGTAGCAGTAGCAGGGTCAGTGGCCTGCTAGATGTCAGACCGTGCACCCATGCCACTTCCATCCAGGGCTTGGAGCACTGGGACCTTGCAAGCCTCACTTGCTGCTGTGGATGCCCAGCACTGCAAGGAAGAGCCCGCAGAAGACTGGGATGCTGAGAT